AGCAGTATGTTTATCCAGGGTTTTTGAGACCGGTGGTGGATCGTTGGGACCGGTTGTTTACATTCGCAGATTTTCGATATCTTTTCCTATTGCTTGCTTCCATTATTTTCATGAAAGGAACAAGAGGAAAAGCTCGGTCATCCTGTTCAGTTTCATCGCTGTAAAGTTATGAGTATTTTTTCGTTTTCGATGAATGTCCGTCTTCGCAGTCTATGGTAATGAGCGTCTACGTTTGCTCAAATTAAACTCGCGGTGCTTCACTCGAGATTTATATTATTATCAACGTCGGCCGTTAAGACCTAAACTTTCAAAAGCGATCAAAGGGAACTTTGTTTGCCTATACATGAAAGGATGGTTTGTGGATCATAATTTAGGATTTTTGAGTAGCTAGCAGGTGAGATTGTGTGAAAATACCTGCAGTATTTACCAAGCATGATAGTCACGGAATGACCACGAATAAATACAAGCGATTTAAATGATTTGTTCTGCCTTTGTATGTTGTGGCGTGTGCATCGAAAGCAAAACAACATTCACATGTGTTCTAGAGAATGAAGATAATCTCCTATTTCATACTGACAAGGAAGAGTGATAATGTAAAATAGTACCTGCAAAAATCGTCCCGACCTGGCAAAGAAGGAGAGCGAAGAGCACCGACATCTTTGAAAATAATCTGGAAACAGCATGTGACCCACAGTGTCACCGGAGCGGAAGTGATTTGATTAATATGCAATGGGAGGTCAGATTGCAGTCAAGTAAATCGAAACACGTACGTTTCACTGGATCAAAATTATAATTCTAATTCATTATGCAAAATACCACAACTTTTGTGTGATATAGGTCAAGAAAACTGGCTCTGTTACTAAGATCTTGCGTGACTTAACTTTTTCTCCTGTTAATTCGAGAACCATTAAGGGTCTGTTTACATGAAGGTGGGGGACCCCAGGTAGGTGACGTAACCCGCCTAGCCATGGTCGAAAAATAAAACGAGTTTACATTCAGTCTTACAACCCCGAAGTGATGAGGTGAGGTTTCTTGAGGTTGTTGTTGTGCTTGAAATTAGGGACTCTGAGCATAGGCGTTCCAAGCTCACGTCTCGAGAAAGACGAAAGATAAATTTCTCGGACGCGTATGTATTTAGTCATGAAAGCATCACGTGTTGTGTTATGCGGTGTTAGGTTACGCGAGGAACCGTTGACTCAATAATACGTTATCAGGAAGAGTTCGAAATATGGTCGATTTACAACGCTAAATATTCCAAAATGTGAACATTTTAGACTCTTTGTGTGTCCGTTGCGGTCTCTGGCGATTTCTGTCATGAGATGGCTGGGAAATGTACAAAGTTTTAAAACAAACGTGTTTCGCTTTAGAGCTTTTTGCCATGAAAGCGACCCCGGCTAGGCGGGTTACCCCACCTTGAGACGTTTACATGGCAAATTGTCACCCCGACTGACAGGGTTACCCTACCTGGTAGACCGGGCAACCCGCCCAAGCGGGTCACCCCACCTATCATGTAAACGTGATCAAGATAAAATAAGAAATTATATGGACAGGCGGGTTACCTCGCTTACAGGGGTCCCCCACCTCCATGTAAGCAGGCCCTAAGATGAAAGAAGGCAAGATTGGTTACAGATATCTCGGCACACGGTCTGGAAAACTGCGCGGTCATCGAGAGAAGGTTAAAATTGAAAGATCGCGCCTTGTTCATATTAGACTACGAGGAGTTCCTCCTTTTCGGCGATGTCCGTCGGGCGAGTGGAAAAAAAATCACCGGAAAAAATTAATCCAAAGGCAAATAAGCTGAACTTCCTCTCAATTGTGGCTGAAATTTCAGCTCAGTGATTGAGCAGAATTATTGCTTTCTTTAATATGGGCCAAGAGGAAGAATTTGAGCGGTGCCCAAGGCATATGAAATTACCCGTTACACAACAAGCATGGAACGAATTCTTTCGTTTTGAGCTCTTCGTCGATCGTCCACTCCGCGCTCGTCATGTGGAAAAGAGACCTCACTGCAATTCTTGCCTCTTATTAGTTCACTTCAAGCAGATGGCTCGTTTTTGTTTTATTTTATTTTAGTTCGCTTCTAGGGATGCCGGCTCGTCAGTTATTCTCGTTGAAAATCGTTGTTTGTCTTGTTCATACCTTTAGCCTTGTTTTTTTGAGGACAATCCATAACTCGAAAGATATTTCCAACCAAACTAAATCGGTAGCTTGACCCTTTAACTCCCAGAAGTGATCAACATGTAAATTCTCCTAACAACATCCATACATTATCCAACAAACAGGTGATGATAATACTTAAACTTATCTGGTAGAAGTTAGTCGTCTTGATCTAACATCAAATTCTCCTGACTAATTTACAAGTAAATGTCTAGCCACTAGAAGAGTGAATTTGCAATCAGATCTTGGGGGTTAAAGGGTTAATAATAACCTGAACTTCATTATTCTTATCTAGGCTGTAACAGCTTCTGAACAAGACTTAAAAACACAGAAAATCTGAAAGCGCACATTTTTTATGGAATTTTTTTCCAGCAAGACTGATCCAAGGAGGCTAAAATTTTGAAGCCCAAATATTCTGATTTTAAGTTACAGGCCAGTTTTAAACGCACTTCAGACGCAGTTTAATGAGGTTAAATACAAATAACGTGTTAAAAAAGTTGTTCTTTTCTTTTTCTTTAACAGTTCGGTCTCGGCTCTGCATTTTTCCATGGTCCTACACGGAAAAACAATCATCCAGCGATAACTGATAAAAATCAAAGCCGCGAGACTTCTCGCCTTCAATTCTCCACAAGTTTATTTTTTTGTGTGTTAAATTCTGCCCTAGCGGATTACCAACTCAATAGCTCAAGTGCTACAGAGTTATAGAGTGGAGAAGCTTTTTTTTTTCTCTGAGTATGAAAGAGCGCCTTCCCTGTTATAAAATGAAAAAAGGGGGAGGTTTTGAACTTATGACTTCATACAACACTTTTTTTTGCAAAGCATCACCACCATTTTCCCTCTCCCCATTCTCAAGGATAAGCAGTAAGGGTTGGATTCGACTCATTCTTCATCCGGGTCATTATCATTTGTATGAACCTCGTTGGGCTCACTTGAAAACAGCATATAACACAAGTTTGATAGGACAGTGATAACGGTGAACATAAATGAGCAAATGTGAATCAAAACCACCATTTCTTCAGATTTCTTTCGCTCCATTGAAGAACGGTTTGCACTAGGGACAAATGAACAACAAACAGTGAATGAAAAGCACGTTACACTAGAGGCTTGAGAGACAGGAATTCCTGCACGAGTTGCTACAACGAATATTATTTTCCCCTGCAAAGACGTTACTCTAGTTTTTCACTAAGTGCTATTTTTAATCTGTTAAAAAAGAAATATGGAAACAAAGAAACGTAGATCAACGTATCCTCCCCCCCGTCCCCTACCAAAAAGGGATAGGTTAACATTTATACATGTTTAAGATGATATACAACTTCACTTTTATTAAAGCCTGGTTATTACAAGTGAAAGAAGATGATATTCAGTTAATGACGCAGGCATACGCGGAGGAAAAGAACTCCGATTGCTACTAATAGAGGTCATATTACGACCTTCTCGACTCGTAGCAGGCTACGCTTTTGATGGTGACAAATTATACCTCCTGCATTCTGCTAGGATAGGAATGTTGAATGTGATGCTTTTGCGCAATGATGATGTAAATGAAGATGTTAAATTTTAAGCCTGGTTGTTCAAGTGAAGGAAGATGTTATACGACACTCGCAAACTCTCAGAATAGGAAAAATGTTCGTGAAAATCCGTGCTTGTGTATTCATGCTGGTTCGCGAATGAGATCATTTCAGTTTTCACACACAGAGATTTTCCTTTCCAAGATACTCTTTTTAATGTCAGCGGAGAAATGCAGTTCGAAACTTTCGAATTGCATTTCTCCCTTGACAGTCAATTTTAAACAGCAGTAATAATCAATGGTTAAACTGTGTTACCTGATAGGGTTTAACAAAACTGAATATTAAAATAGTTACCTCATGAGCGATCGGTACTAGTGTGGCCGTGATACTTATGCGTTTAAATATCCTTCCTCGTGGCGAAAGCCTGGAACTAAAAGATGCCAACTTGAAAATTTTGAAAATAACCATGAGAAATTTTAATGAAAGTTTCTCTTTAAACGGCATTAATACAATTGATCTGTAAATTACCTGATTCAGAGTTGATTATGATGAAACGAGATTTTTTTAATGCATTGTAGATCACTATATCGAGCAAAAGGCGTAAAGCACGAAAACTAAATTCATTAGTATGCAAAATCCTGAATTTGTGCTTGTGAAGCCGTAATTGAAAAACATGCAAATGTGAAATAGGAAAATTACCCTCTGACCCTTTGTTTTTCTTTGACTGACAGTGTTGGTGTGCGTGAAGATAATTCTTGCTATTCAGTTTCCGAGCAAACATGTAAAATTGTAGCTTTGAACAACAATCAGAGGCTGTGAAGTGAATGATGACACCACTGGGAAATAAAATAAAAAGCCAGAGACACTTTAAAAGTAGATGGACCGACAATCAGGGGCGTTTTGATTAAAAAAGATTCATTAGAAGTCTCTTTTGAACTGCAGTGTGATGTCCACTGCACGGTTAGTGGTATTTATGTGGTCTCCTCGACAAACCACGCGGGCAACAAAGAAATAGAAAGCTCAATCTGTGGGTTTGTTCTGCAGTTCACAAACATCATTGTTAAATGGAAATAAGCCGTCGTCGGCGTTGTTAGCACAAGTCTATTTTCCTTTCTTAACAAAGTCCAACATTTTGCACGGAAATGAACCTTACGACCCAAACAGAGCATGTAAATGAACATACAATGAACGACACCTGTTCTAAGGTTTATGGAAATGCAGTGACGGAAGTAGAAACTAAACCGGGAAAAGTTCAATGTCAGAGAAACATCCAAATGCCAAAAAAAACAAAGCGGTTTACTTGCCATTGTCATAAATTTTCTCGATTTTAATCACTGATTTAATGAAGGATCGGAAAAGTTTCGTTATTTATTATTCACAAAACTCAACATTAAAAAAAAAAAACCCTGTTTTGTTGGTTCAGAGCCAACTTAATTTCCCATAAAGATACGTTGGCTCAGAGCCTAAAAACTTCAATGCGAGTTTCTCATTGCATTCATTAACTCCTCAAATCAAGTCGATAGATCGCCTCCAGTAGATTAAATGTGACAATAATACGTATCGTGGAACAAAAAACTAGATTCATTAACTTATTCATGTAAACGTCGCTGCATATTTCTTCCTCAAAAAAAATTCCCTCCAAATACTGTGCATGTTTAAGGTCACCAATAAAAGACTTGCTTAAGGTTAAATCGAGGAAGACCTCAAGTCGATAGATAATACTTGCATGTGTTTACAGAGTATTTTCGTTAGTTGGCGAAGAGAAAAGGAGTCCATTATCCCTTCGCTCTGACGAAAGGCTAACACTCGAAACGTCAGCCTTAGAACTCTACGGTGGCCAAATTACATCATCAACTCAGTTGATAAAACCTAATTATCTTATAATATCTTCCACTGACGTAACACCACAGTTTCTTCAGAAACCTACCCCCTTTATTCATTATCCGCGTAGTTAACACAGCTTACATCAACAAGTGGTGCAAATCATTTTCTGAAAGGAATGGGGAGAGGGTGAACATTCGAATTTTTTTGGTTCGGATTTGATTTTTTCACGGTATTTTCTGAGAAACTGTTTCGCCTTATTCGATGGCTCCTTATTTTATTGGTTAATAATAAAGCATTCTCTATAAAAAGCAAACAGCCCATTCCTAATCCTCTATTGAGCCGATGAGGATAGTGGCTAGTCATACAAGGCTCCATGAAGCTCTGCAACTCGCTTCAAGAATGGAATGTGATTGGCTTGTAACTTGAGGTGATTGCTGACTTCCTGCCATTGGAGACCGCGGGCGTTAATACCAGTCTTGAATAAGAAAAACAGTCTGTTTTTAGTGCGAGTAGGGGTAACAAAATTGCCAGCTAAATATGAAAGGTCAAACAAACGCACAAAAACCGCGGTGAAGACGCTGCAATAAACGTTTAGGTATGCACGTGTTGAGTAACTTTTCCATACAGTTTCCAAATGTTGGTTAATAAGTAAAATACGTGAAACCTAGGCCTTCGATTACGTTTGGCTTAAATTGGCGTCAAGGTCTTACTCTTCTCAACTACAATATGACTGGAAGAGATCTGAGCATGATATTGCGATTCGTTTTAATATGGGGCTCCGCTAGGTCACTGTAGCGGAGACATGGAACAAATTGTTATAACCTTATTAAATACCTACCTTAAAATGAACGCTGTCCAAAATGAGTCCTGTATCATCATGGAAACTCACGGCTATTGTTTCCATCCAAGCATTGTCTGTGTTACGCGGATCATCCACATATCCTTTGTAAACCTACGGAGACGGGTCATTCGAGTATCACAGCAAACAGTCGAGTTGTAAAACACAAGTATTCCAATAATAACTCTAAATCTCATTTTCAAACACACGGTTTAACGACAACTTAAGTGTAGCTCAGGTTTGACTCCAGCCACCGCAGTTAACATTATGCTGGTTGTACTGTGGATCCTGCATTGCATATCTCTTATCCGGACAGATTCAAGCAATTTGAAAAAGAATCTGGTTGCCTTCTATACTGTCCTCGACCTGTTTGATTCAAGGCTTTTTAAATTGTAAGAACACCCCAGTGGGACCAACAAGAGTAGATCAAAGCGAAGGCGTGATAGGGAAATTAGATCCACTTACCGGAATACCGTTGGAAAAAAGTTGCTCAAGACGTTCAGACATTAGCTGCTTTTCGTCTTCACTCGCACTTGGAGAACAGAGAGCCTCAGCGGAAAATTCATTACGAAGGTAGGTTGGAAACGTCTCTTCGGCCTCAACAGTTCCCTGTAAAATACATTCATCCGTGAGAAGTACGGTCTATGAAGAAGTGGGTCCTCAGTAAAGCGGGACTTAAAAAATTCGCGTTAAATTAGCATGATACTACAGAGACAGAGGAGATAAGAAGGGGTTTTGATACAATAAAAGCCAGTTACGGGCAGTCTACCGCCGCCTATAAGATCTCTGTAAGACCTCCATGAGACCACCGTCTGTTTATGCAGCGAACAGATGTCGTGTTTTGTTTTCGCCCTTACAGCTCCCTTTCCGGACAAAGCCGCCCAATGTACCATCGGCAGTTGCTTAGGGAAAAGTTTACTGATAGCCTGATTTAAGCCGACTAGACCCCGATGTACCATGTAGAGTTTCAAAAGCGCAAACTTTAACGCAGAGACTGATTACAGAACCGCAATTCTCAGTTGTAAATAGAACATTTTTGAATGAGAGGTTGGGGTCCCTTGGGTTTCTCAGACGTGGCCCATTTATCTCCGATGGGAAAGGAATGGAATAGATCAAATCATGATGAGAAAAAGGGGCAGGCAGAGAATTTGCCGTAATTACGAACCCCTGGTAACGCCCATTCCAAGGTGTCGCGTAATTGAACTGCGACAAATTCCATAACACATTTGCCGAAACGTTCAACAACTGCTCCATCTTGAGTCCTCTTCCACCTATTAGGAAACAAAAAAGGTTAAGAATTTCAGTGTTTAGTTTATACAGAAACATACAGACTCAGCTTCAGAACAGTCAGACAATTATTCTAATAATTAATTATACAATAATTAATCAATTATTGGCAATCAGCGATCAATGAAGGCAGTAGAATGACTAAAAATTCTGGAACGAAATCTTTGTATTCAGCACCTTCAGCGATAGCAAGCATGTCCTTGTGAAGATATTACGTGAGCCTGACGAGACAGAATTTCGCATAGTTCAGGTATCTGTCGGGCAGTACATTAATTCCCTCGCTAAAAATAGAAAAGTTATTCCGTATGACAACTTTAAAAATGCATCGGAGAGTTAATGCAATTTTATCCGCAGGTTATGATAAAATTTGTTTTCATTACTTCTCTAAGCAAAGGCTTAAAAACAAATGTGAATATGTAAGACCTTACAAAGCTTTGCCTTTCTTCTACAAAGTATTCATTACCCGAATATTAAAGAACAGTGACAAAGGATGAATTTTACCTGGTAATAACTGGGTCAGCAAAATGATTTGGTCCCCAGCGGCCAAGAAGACCTCTCGCGGCAATTCCCGTTCGACCCATTGGATTTCTAGCAAAGACAGTTGGTATTCAAAAGAAAATTCGACGTCAATTTGCCCAAAGCCATAAACTGTTGCATAAAGCGCAACATTTAGCACAGAACTTTCAATACAAAAGAATATGGCATTTAGGGGCTTAAACGAAGATTGTTATGTGGCCGGTTCAATTCAAGGAAATGTCTAAAAGGAGAACACAACAGGAAACCTCTATGACCCACCGTGGAATACCGTTGACAACTTCGTAAATTTTCATGTAGCTTCTTCGATCAACTCCTTTTCCAACGTCATTGAAATTCAGCTCTACATGTTGATAGGCAGGTCTAAAAGATCACAAAAAGTAATCAGGTTTGTAGGATCAGATGTGAAATGCAAGTTTCTTTTAGCTTCAACATACAGAGAAGTTCCATCATAACCAGTCCGCTCATGGATCTTTTTCTCTTATCTTCCAAAGAGCAAGTGCAGAATGACCATGTTGTTCAAGTTCTCGCGCGCTCCCTTCGCACTTGGTCGCTTGTCAACCATAGAGAAACGAAACTGCTGTAAACAGACCAGTCATTACAGACGCATGTTGTTTTAAAGATACTAAGCATTCTCTATATTGACCACTTTTGATAGCGAAGTACATGTTAGATGTATTTATGTATTTTTTCCCCGCTGACGAACAGTTTTCGTTTTACTAGAAGAGATATAACCAGAACTAATTTAAATCCTCCAAAACTCCAATTGTTTAGGGGATCGCAAAAGTCAAGCGCTCGACTTCAAGTTGTTGTGACCTTTTCACATATAACAGCCAATGTTGCCATATGGACCAGAAGCTGGCTGTGCAAGGAAGCGGAATTCAAGTATTTCCTTTAACTTACTCCAAAAGATCAACGTCGGCCCACTCCGGAGTTTGAATCACATCAAGCGCAGTGTACACTGGCGGAGCATAGCCTGGGAACGGCATCTAAATGAAAATCACTTCAACTTAAACTCTCTTTGAATTATACCATTATCTTTGCACCATTATACTTGCAACATTGTATTCAGGTTTAGTAGCATGCTTTATCGTGGTACAAATAAAATTACTTATCATTGGTCAGTTGGCTTGTAAGGTTCAAAACTTCAATGAGAAGAGCAATAGCTCGTCTCCTACGTGCATTTCTTAACCATCCCCAGCAAAATAAAAACATGCAATCACCAAATTTTTTGTGTCCTGAGAACTAGAACTAGGCAACTCATATTTTACATTCTGTTTGGAACTCAACAGCGCTCACAGAGTGTCAGACTGAAGTTGAGGCGAGGAGCCGTTAGACACGTTAATTACATCTAGAAAAAGCTAGTGGAAAGTTTTTCCATCTTTTTTCAGAGCAAAAATAAAAACAAAAACAACTGCGTTACCTGCCAATCAACAAGGAAGTCTGGTACTGGGTAACGTTGTTGGTCGCTCAATGGATAAGGTGATTGCCTCGCTTTCACGTGCAGTCCCAGTTCTCTGGCTGCTGCGAACGCATCTCTGTATAGTACGTTATCAGGAAGTGTATTTGACCGCTTGCGGGTTTTGCCTTTAGCGGCGGCTTGTGCTAAAAATTAAATCAGACTGAGTAGCTCAAATGTTCTCTGATTGTTCACTTCCTGGGATTCAAAACCAATTTATCCAATGGCTGACTTCTCTTGGAAAGCTGCCCAATGGGTAGCCGGTAATTTTAACTACCGGCTATGGTTTAAAAACCATAATATTAAATTTGACCGTAAGTTAATCTGTGGTGTATTTCAATAATTTCACATGAAAAATTCTGAGACGAGATCACAACAACCTCTGCTAGTGAATTATATGTTAGCTAAGCTGTTGTAGAATTCCAGCGAATTTTAATTTAAAACCACTGTATTGATATCACATGTATCAAAGCTTTTCTACTGTAATGAAAAGCGATAAATAAATAGAAAATAACTAAGTGCTTCCAGAACATACCTTGAGTTTGGACTGTTCCCTCACTGTCTGCACGTTTCAGCGGTATCCGAGATGAAACTTGCGCGAAAGGAACATGCGCTTCCATTTTGCCTTTTTCCGCTTTTCCGCCACTGCCCTTAGACACCTCATCCAGCGAAGGTAAAGTGACACTTCTTTTAAATTTACGGATTGCTTTCTCAAGGCTGCTCCGGTGCCAGTTGCTTTTTGATAATTGACGGTACCAAGATGGATAAGGATTGCTGTTTGGAAGTTTATGTCTGAAGTACATAGGTGTAGGACGGAGACTTGAGCTTGCTTGCTGTCGGTGTACATACGCTGGGACACTCATCATACGGCTGAACATTCTTTTAGGGCCAACTCTGGGTGAAAATTCATCCTGATCCCTGTACTCAATGTTCAACGAGCTGGTCTCCGACATGGCATCTTCACGCTCCTCCGCAGGGGAGGACAGAGGACCATTAACGTTCGCAAGCATATCCAGAATTTGTATAGTGTACTCTTCCATTCTTGTTAAGCGTTCGTCGATGCTCGTGACTTTTTTTGAAATTTGTTGGACTTTTGTTTCATTTTCCCGGGTGGTCTCTCTCATGTGATTATTGATGGATTCAACCCTGAGCGATAAACATTAAGAACGATAAGAATGAACCATTTTTGATCCAAGATCCAATTTTTGGATCGGAAAAGTGACAAGAAATCATGGCCGAACGGTAGAAAAATCTGACTACGAAATGAGCAACAAGAAATCAAACAGGACTTAGAGTAATAAGGCAAGATATACTGTCAGGCACAGTTACCTAAATCCAATGACTCTCACTCTTTCTTCTGGTGTAGCATGGAACAGCGTGTCCTTTTGTTGTAAATAGCTTTCAGCGCATTGTTCTTCAAACAACATCAGTTTATGTACATCTTGCCTCTCCAGAAAAAGCTCTACAATATGGAAACAAGAAGAAACAACGAGAGTTAAAGGAAACAAATCATGTTCGTAAAAGAAGGAGTAAGTAGTGGTCTACTTCTAACAGGGTGCTTTTCCAATGAATGGCGTCTAACCAAATAACGAGGTAATCATAATAACCGATGAGAACTTTATACTTAAGGGGGCTAAAATGTGGGAAAATGCAAATAACCAAAAAGAAAGTTTTTTATAGCTTTTTTTAGAAAAACAGTTGTATCCAGAGTCACTAAGGCGCCTTCCTCAATCATAAATTGTCATGCAAGTTTGGCCAGGTTTTGGAGGATTGTGTATTACACATTGTATTGGAAGTCGCTGGTAAGGGGCTCCTTTCAACCTCAACTCCATCGAGATAATTCCCTCCTTTTCTCTCCAGCTTTTTCTTCTTCTTCCGTGAATGTTATCTATAAATCTCTTTACACTAAGCAAGACATTCTTTCTATGTTTGGTCACTCACTTAGTTTTTTGTCTGCCCTTTTCCGTTTCAGTTTGCTTTTCTTGACACAACACCGCGGTCTACAGCAAGCTTTGTAAATGAGATACAGATGATTGATGATAATAAACGGAGGCACCAACACAGGTCTATGCGTATACTCCATGATCAGCTGATACCGCTGGAATTTCCAGATCTGGTTTGAGTTGGCTTGAACATAGGAAAACGTGTTGCTAACAAAACAAATAAGATTTACAACCATAGTAGATGAAAGTCACTTCCATTTCGAAACATTCCCATAAAAACACATCGTTAAAGAATTAAAATGCCCGCGTTAGTTTAATCGATTGCGGTCTATTATTCTTACTTAAAATATCGCGAAGATAAAATTAGTGAAACGCTAGGTGGATGTACCTATAAATTGTAATCACCTTGCTCAAGAGTTTTCTATGGGTAAATTTCAATACACTGAGCGGATAGGGATAGTGTATGCAGTGGTCAGTAGAAGAATATTCAGGACCCTGTCTACTGAACGCTTGAAAGATAATGATCATAAAATATAGGCAATCAGAAAAATGTTGAACCACGTAGAAAAGTAGGTAACATGAAGCAAATTGTTTAAAGAAAGACAAAAATTTCAAGTAAAAATTCCATGTTGACCGCCACATTTCGACTAGTTACATTTGTACAATTCCTAGTACAACTCTGTCATGATATTGGTTTGTTATCCACAGCCGAGACGGTCACTTTACAAGATGCGTAATCTCAGCCATTCTTGACAATCTAACGCTTCGAGCCAGCTCTCAGGCTACTTAAAATGATAGCACATAACATCAGCAGGTTAGGACACACAGAGGTAGGACACACTTGGACTCCATGTGGTTAATAGTACCCCACCTCAAAAAGTACCAATGAGCCCCTGTTTCTGTGACTTACTTGAAAATGGCAATGAGGAGATTGAGCAGTAGAATATTGGCGACCAACAGATACAGCGCCATAATAACAGTGACGAGCGTTCCACCAAATTCATCAAAACGAGGTGTGTTGAACGCTGTGCTGTTTTGACCCTCTACAAAAACAAAAACAAAAACAAAAAGGAAATACAATGAAAAGCAACACACGACGACCGCCTTAATTACCAGTAGCTGATGAAATCTGTTGAAAGATGACGGGGCAAGTATGTAGACCAGCTTTCCAGAAAAGTACACCAACTTGTACACCAATAGGTACGAAACAAATCTTTTCAAAGCTTGTCAACCGGCACTGAACACTCACGTTGAAGACGGAACCAATTGTTTTTTAGTTCAGGACTACTCTCACCTCGATGATCGGCAATAAACATCAAAGGACTTCCCACAATTGTGGTATTACAGAGATGGCAAACAAATAACTCTCAAAAATTGGGTTTACAATCGCTACATAGTAATAAGCGTTTTTGCCTTGCTCTCAAGGTATGGCTTCGTAACCCAGCTGGTAGTAGCACCCATCTAGTATCTAGGGGCATGGGTTTGAATCCCGTCAAGTCAATGTTTTTCAGGCCTCTTTTTTTTGCAATTCATAAAATCGCACTCCACCTGCGAGGATCATTCCCTTGCTTGGTTTTTCATCTGACATCTATTTTTCTTCTGCGTCCTTTGTTTTAATAGGAAATACAAACAAAGGTAACATACCATGGCTGGCATCTTCGATGAACAGTTCGCCATAGACTTGGAAGTAAGGTCTGAAGAAAACTTTGGGAATGAGGTTCCAAGAACCTGATTCGTAGGGAAACAAGATGGCTTGTTGCGCCACACCATACGCCATCAGGAACACCACCATGATAAGCAGAAAATACGTCATGTCGATTGTCTGAACAAAAACAAAACCATTGGTTTAGTCAAGTTATAGTCAGCCCGCCATTATGGGGAACTAACACTGGCAAGTTACTTCAGATGTCATTCCAAATGGTGAGAAGTTGTTTTTTCTTTTCATCCGTGGTTTAAGTAATTTCAGTATTACTGAGAGCACCCTTATTCTTCCTATCAGTGTTGGAAAATGATGAAAATACTGTGCAAGGCAGAGATTGTTTCCATCATAGGTTCTAAGTTCTCGTATTCACATAATAGTGATGTGCTTCTCGGTAGCTCTGAATCTCACTCTTCCTCCAAGCTTGTCAATACCCAATATATTTATTCATTTGTTATTCAACCATGCCATATTTGATTTGTACTATATGCTTGTAATTATTACAATGGCTTACCTGTAGACTTGCTAAAATTGCCAAGTACACCCCACAATAAGTAATTTACTTTTTTAATATCCTAAAACAATTTTTTTATTTTCCTTTTTTCAATACAGCCTAAGAGCCACACATGTACCATTGAGTTATGCGTACCATTCGACCAATCATGACGACGTACGGTCCCAGCACTTTGCTAAACGAGAAAATGTCGAGAACCCGGATGATCCACAACATGATGTCGAGGCAGTAAAGAATGTGACCTATTTTGAGAGTTTCTGGGTTCAAGCGAAAACCAGCAGCAACAAAGAATAACAGAATGGCACAACCGTCACACAAATTCCATTTGCAGGAACCCCATTCTTTAAATTTCTTGAGTAGACTCTTAGACTCCGAATGAAGCACCTGTTGATGATTAAAGGAAAGAAAGATGTGAGTAAATCACCCTTTAAGAACGGTGTCAAATTGGCTGCTTGCCCGCTTTTTGAAATGTAAGGAAAAATCTACGATATAATTTAGTGTCAACAGTTATAAGGAATTGCTTTGGTTTAACATTGCAACGTCCTCCAGTGAAAGATGAACCTTCTAAAATCTGCCGCGCTCTCAAGGCGTGGCTTCGTAGCCCAAATGTGTTCAGGACTCTTTTCTGCAATTGTTTAAATTGTAGTTCACCAGCGGGGATCATTTCTTTGTTTGATAAATTAACTAAGAGTGATAAATTACCCAAGCCCAATATGGCTGGCCTGAAGAAAATTTTCTAGGAAAAGAAAAGTTTTTGTAGATCTATGAGTGCTATAATATAAACCTAAAAAACGATCACGCGAGGAACTTTCAAAAGAGGCGGAACACCGAACAATGCAAACATGTCAAACGTTGGATGTAATGGGGAAAATAAATGAAAAAGGTTACATTTGTACAAACCTGTCTAACTTCCTCTGTAAACAATGTAAATACAAATATGATGAGGATGATTTCCTGGGGAGGGGGGGTCACAGGAAGACGAACTAAAATAACGTAACAGAACAAAATCAGGAACATGAAGTAGACAATCTGCAACAAGAAAATAACGCGTGCAATTAGCGTACATGAAGATATACAGTCGCCTCCTTCCCTCCCCCATGAAAAAAGTACTAGTCAGTCAAGATAACTTGGTTCGATCAACTGAGCCGATGAAGTAAATTGGCCACCGCTAAGAGAACATTCGCTCTGACAAAGGGCTAACGCTTTAAACGTAAGCTTCAGAATCTCTTTACAGTGGCCAATTTACATTATCATGTCTCTTGATAAAACCAAATTCTCGTAATCCCCCCAACCGACGCAGCACCACAGTTTCTTAAGAACCGGTCCTTACCCTACCCCCTTCAAACATAAATTGATTTATTAAAGAATCGTTTTCAGAGACGAAGGAGAGAGAGTTTTGACCTTCACAACCCTCGTCTGAGCTTTTTTATGCAACAAGCCGTACACGATGTATGATGCATCCAAACAACAACCCCGAAGACAAAGAGGGAAGGCAATGCGTAAGAAAAGCTCCGACCTCTTGTCGGCCACCATGTTGTCCTCCCTAGAAAGCAAACTATATAACCCAGTGGTACAGGATCAAAGCTTAATTATTCTACCTCTTATTGTTTGGCAAATTTCAAAGTAAACTACGCACCACATTCCCCCAAAATTTGGTGATGGGCGCCCGATAAAAATCGAACAGCTTCCGTCCTAAACTGGGATCTACCATAGGACTCTCAGACGCATCCATCCATCGCTTTTTCACACTCAGAGAGTCCGTGCTTTCTGTACGGCTGGAGGGCGAGAATGATCTATTTAACGGGAATTACAAGATTTGTCCATGTAAGTTTGATGAGCAGTGCCCTTCTATTTCTGTGTATCACTAAACTAAGTTTAAAAGGAAGTTATCTCAATTACAATTAATTTGCCCACATGTATCGAGCTTACTGCAAACACTTGTATGGTCATTAGATTCTCAAGGTAAACGAAAGATAACAATGAATGAAAATAGTAACGCCTCTGACACATTTTTCCTTTTTTTTTTTTTTTAACGCAAGAATTGTGTGAATCAGGAATTCAAAAGAAATAAAACAACCCATATGTCAATAACACAATTGTGCTACGGTGGGTTAAGTTACCAGCGCATGAAACAAAGTGACACTGGAAACCATGCGACACAATGTCAATACACGGAAAAAAACTTGCTCGCTACCAGCTAAATAGACACCTTAGCTGCAAGCAAATTACGAAAAAGACTAAAAGATGTTAATAATTCAAACGCCATGCGGGAATCACTATTATAACAAACCCAGCAAGCAGACAATAAAGTGGAAGAACATTTTCACAGCCGACTGAATTACAAAATGATTCCTATTCGAAGTGTTTTGTCCTTCATTGTCGCGGCTGTTTTTGTCCTCGCGGCTACCAACGCTAAGGAAGTTTCGGTAGTGTGGTCTAGAGAGGGCGAATACTTTGCTAATGGAAACAAAGCGCTGATTCTTAATGCGGGGGATAAGCTTGCAATCATCTGCCCTAACAGTGATGTCTCGAATGGACGAATGCCTCCCGATATTATGTTCGAGAATGTGTGGCGAGTTGGCTCAGCAGGATATAATCTCTGTGACGCGTCAGTAGATGGCAAGCTTCTGCTCAAATGCAAAGATCCTGAGCAAATCAAGAAGGTTGTTTTAGACGAGCTCTATGCGCAACTCGGAAGAACATATTATCTAATTTCGACCTCAAACGGACTTTTGTCTTCCCTTGACAACAAAAAAGGAGGGCATTGTGAGACGCAAAATTTGAAATTGATTGTGTACGTTCAGTGAATTATTGTCGGATGAAAGTATACAAAGCTCAAGAAGAAGTAACCATGACCTTATTGTACATCCAAGTCATGATGAATAACGGATTTCTGTCAATCTTCTCTTTAACAGTATGCTAATGACGATCATGGGAACACGGAGAAAATTAGACAGCGAACTGCATGTAGAAAACATGGAAGCGTTTCTCCATTATTATCAAGATTTTCTTGTGTCTAGAGCAGAAGATCGGGACCTGTTACTTCTGCAAACAAACCGTAGTAAGGCGAGATTCATTCTCGATTAGATATAAAACGGGACAAGTGACATCATCACAGATTTGCTGCCTTTAAATGAATGTATTCTCATGTAGCACGTTAGTGTGATAAAATTCATTGAATTGACAAACTCAAAATATAGAATGATATTCATAATGATTTAATTTAACATGAAGAGACCACTTCCCCAATGGGGCTTTTCACGGCTAAAATAAACAAACTGAAACAAACATTGTCAATAAACATAGCGCTGAAAATCCCAACTTGCCACAGACATACCAGTTGACTGTATATAAAGTGTAGCCAAGGATTTGAACGCAGGGTGGAGGACTTGAACCCGGGACCTCAGACTAGTGCTTTACGTATTACTTTTAACATTTAAGCGAAAATCGCTCCATTTCGTAATCCCCTATAAAGCTATTATCAGATATTACTGTTGATTTCAGAGACCCCAGGAAGGCACTATGATGACACTATTACCACCAAACAAGATGGCCTCCTTTTGTAAACAAAGAGACAAAAGAAAGAAACGAAATTATTTAAGAGGAGAATTTCCATGACAGTGTTTACCTGAGATGTACTTGTGAATCTGTTTTGGAGAAGCGTGCTGCGGTGTCTCCGTTAGATTTTTCTTCATTCCCAGTCTCCTCTTCGCCTTTCTCGGTTTGCCCTTGTTCGTGTTCTTCGAATGTGACTGGCATTTGACACAGTTCTTTCTTACTTTTAAACTCTAAGAATGCAATTGTAGGTGGAATCAGGACGCCCAGAACGGTCTGCAAGTAAAAAAAACTGCACTTTCAACATATAAAGACTCAAAATCTACAAACTTGAACCACAGTGACCCATTTTCTAAAATATTCTTTACATAGCTAGTATAGCAAGATCCTCCAATAAGCCCTCTCTTTGTGATTGGTCTAAGAAACTCGCGCCAACTTCTAGCGCCTCATGCAGTTTCTCCAATGAGGTCTCGTTTGTTCTTTGCAACATTTTCCTTGGTTCTGATTGACCTCTATGATTAGCTTAGTTTTAAGTTTACGAGACTTAATCCAAATACCCTTTGCCATCATCCTGTGGTTGCTTATCAAAATTAAAATTAAAAGAATAGAGCAATTTCAATTGAGTGTCGAAAGTAATCCGAGATTGCACTGGTTTTGCTTTACTTCGCTCTGTGATTGGGTCAGAATATTCGCACCACTTTCTCCACCAATCAGATGCAAAACTAAAACCAATCACGACTAGGTGGTTCGCGTTTTCCCGCGCTTTATGCAATTTGGTTGTTTTTATGTTGAGTTCTAACAGGCTCTGAAAGGTATTTTCCCAGTTTCTTCTTATCGGCTGTTATAATTTCTTTGGTTTTACGACGTTAAGTGGAAAAGCATTCTTCAACAAGTTTTTTCTGGACTATATTTATTTAATTGGCAATTCCATTCGCCCTTGTATACAGGGATTAGACCTATTTGGGTTAGGATAGCTCGTTGTCCATCTATCATCTCAAAGTTAACTTATATACATGCAATGATATTTTATGATAAGTATGGCTTTGGTTAAACAGTTAGAGAACCTTGCTAATAACACTGGCTTTATCGCAGTCATAAAAGAAGGATGGTACCGTATAACAACTTCTACCTTGACTGAACACCATTCGCTCATTTTCATGGCTCCCATCCAGATCTCAGTTAGCAGGGTTTGACAACATGGGTGAGCAACGAACTCCTCGTGCCCTGTAGCAACAGCAAGTGACAGACAGCACTGGTCTCCCCAGTTGTCCAAGTTGTAAGTCAACAACTGCTGTGCTACGTCTTCATTTGAGCGATAACACTCATCAAGTAAACCCAAAGCAATACCCAGAAACTCACTAAAAAAAAGCATGATCAGCCATAAGATTATGAGCACAAGATATCTATCTATTCATCACTGAACAGTTACGAGTTTACCGTTTTCTCCTTCAAAATAATCACTAGACAGATGAAGTTTTTAAGGCCCGATTTACGATATCAGTAATAGGGGAACATCGCTAAGCACGGAAAATTACTAACTTTGGTTTTCATGTTCAAATCTCTCCAATCTAAGGACAAAAACACATGACTAAGAATATAACATTAAGTCTTTATTCATGTAGTCTATGTAAAGGAAAATATATTGATTTAAGTTCGAATTGGAAAAATTAGGTTTTGTTTAGTTTGGTCATAAGAACTCATTCATAATAGTCTATGGGTGTTTCAGTCTCTCTCAAAGTCATACTAAAGCATTATCATTGATGGTTTACTTAAAAAGCATGCACACATACCGTGAATGAGTTTCGAGTTCCTCTGTTATATCTGCCTTCAATTCCTCTTTTGCCATCTCCTCTGCGAGAGCCTTAAATAATTTGCCTGCCACAAGGGCCTTGGCAAGGTTCTCATCACCTCTTTCCCACAAAAATAGTGCCATTTTGTGGAGATTAGAGAGTACTGCCCATATTAAGAGCTCGTTGTACGGTAACTTGAACCCTGCGCCAAAGTAGCTTTCGTCTGCGGTTGACATAAACATTTTCATATTCGCCATTCCTATACCCTGGAAAATAAGACAATTTTGAGTATTAGTTCAAGGCCTGGGAAAAATAACCCAAGAGTTTGTCCAATGTCAAGCGTCAGTAATAAAGGTGTGTGTAAGCTAACGGAAGTTTACTGAAGTCGTCTACTTTCCAACTCATGATGAGTACGAAGTTTATCTGATCAAGGGCCAGACACATATACACCAAAGCGCGTGACTTTAAGAGGGCCACTGGAAGCTGATTGCCATAAGCGTGCTGGCCTCGAGATCCGTTTTAACCGAACGTACTTCAACTTCAAAGGTTTGTAGGCATACTTGTTGAATGTACACAATGAAATCAATTTAGGGTTTTCTCGACTTCGAAGAAGTCTTTACCAAAAAAAAAATCCGCGTTTTGAGGATCGGTGCGACGAACCTGATTGAAATTCTATAATTTGCAGTTTAAATACGTCTACCTTCTTGATCGATCCATATTCTTTGTGATGGTGAACAAAGCTGATTCCCAACAGCCGTTCAGTGACACTTGCTAAGTCTCCCAGTTTGAAGGATTTAAGAGCCTGCAGTACAGTAAAGATCAGTATAATCGTGAATTGCAAAACTCATCAGAGATTTCATGAGAATGTTTAGCCACAAAAACGTGAAGAAATTTTAAAGCACCCTGTGATACCTTTTTCCCTCCAAAGAGTCGATAAAGTGTGAAGCTCTTTGTTGCCCTCTGTTGAATAAAAAAAGATGGATCCCCGATCAAATCAAGGCATTCGATAATCAGCCATAAAACAACTTATGTCTCATGATGTGGAAATTCAACAAATATAATACAAGAGTGCAAGAAATTAACGTACAACTCTGTAAAGTTCCTCCAGACGGCGAGCAGTGAGGAACGACGACATACTAACACCATTCTCCAAGAGAAGATCAACGAAGTCAACACGGTCCTTCACCAAAGCCTCAAACATGGCGCTCTCCAATACCGAAATCTGACGGAATGCAGAAAAACAAATTGTCACCGATGAGGAATTTTTAACTGTAGCCACAAAAACTTTGGCAATCATAGCCATAACAAAGATCCTAAGTTAGAATGGAGAGCTCGTTGGCGATGTTAATTTTGTAAATTTACCACAAGATTCTTCAATAAAATTACTAAATAGCTGTAAAGATAACTCTTGCAAGAACACTGGAAAACTGAGGGAGTTGTCCTAACGTAAACAAACTAAGGTTTACCAACGAGCTCATGGGAATCAGGCGGGTGAGGATGAGGTGAGAGAGTATCGTTTAAAGCGTTTAAAGTCCCTAATGGTTTCAACAGGATGCACAAGAGATTTTCTTCAAACCTCCCATTTACGATCCTCCTTGAAGATTTCGCACTTAGCGATGTCAGCTCTGTTCCATATAAGAGCCAGACTCAGCTGGTGGGACGGCGAAGCACTGTGACCTGGAAAGTGAATGTAATGGATTAGACTTGCCAAGATCATCTGTAGAGGAAGCTTTTATTCACAGCTAAACAATCAAAAGATGCAAGTAGTCTATCGCAGTGGCGGTGAAATCATAATTCGGTTGAGGCAACCACGAATTAACTTATGAAATCTAAATTAGAAAAAACTCTAATTGTGGGTAGACGAATCAAATATATGTCAGCCCTCGTAAGTCAGATTCACCGTAAACATTCAACTATTTTCTTCAGTTGACCATCTCCGAGAGAATTTCCCACTAGATGATGATATATTCATTAGGTGGCTAGTCCTGAGATTCTTGCTTTATATCAAAACGAAGGCCCCTTAAAATGGATGATTTCCTGATTCTCATTGCATTTTTTTTCACAGTTCAATCAAAAAGAGGAAAATAGGCATGGATCTACCTATGACGAATTACCGTTTAAAAGTGCTCTCAAAATTGCTCGGTCAATATCCATCCCATCTTCGTTCACACTGAAAATTGTGATCTAAAAAAGATCGTTAGTAGATGAAAATGAGGTAATCGGGGGATCAGGAACTGATTTGATGCCAGTAAGAAGACCACAGCAACTACAGACGGTGGAATGTCAGGCCAGCTCTCAGCTACACGTTAGGATTCTGGTCGCGATTTTACTTTTCAACTTTGAGGCTCAGCGATCTGATATCAAAATCTAAAACTTCTCAGAAACCTTAACTATAGTCTCTGGTATTCTCACTTAGTTATGACCTCTGCACATAACAGGTAGGGGAATGGGGCCAATGGGGAAAAAGAACTGGATAAGAAAAATTAAGCAAAAACGGACATACGTATCTCTTGTTTCCTACACATCTCAGGACATTTTCGTAGATCTTCAGACATTCTTCCTCGTCACATTCAGGGAAAGCTTTTTCTATTTTGACAAACAGTTGATGATGTTCCACAACATCCACCATTTCCTGAAGGTCTCCATCACTGTGAAAAAAAGTCAAGACTGCTAACTTTATACTGCATTTACTTGATAGAAGAGCAGATTAAAAAGGGGAAAAGACATATAGTCGCTAACAGCAACATTTCAAGTGTGTTTCACTCTTCCACTAATAAGATTTATTCGTGTAAGTGTTCTCCCATATTTTTCCCTCTTGCAAACGTTTTATCAAATGTCACTTGTTGGTTAGTGGGAAGCATATCCAACTTTTTCTTATCACCCCACGAGTCTCCTTAAAAAACTCTCCCAACACCTTGAGTAAAACGACGTCACTTTTGTGAACATTATGTCATCCCCTATATAATTGAAAGTCAAGTTCGTGTGTCCTTAATTGACAATGTCTAATCCCTGCTCCACGATAGTCCTACAAAACTGATTACAGTATTACTATAGAGAAATCAATCGAGAGTCGAGAGCTATCCATATTACTGGTTTGCTGAACTTTACTCTTTGATTAGTCTAGAAAACTCGCGCCACTTCAAGTCTATCAGATGCGAGCTAAACCCGATTGCAACTTGTTCACCTTGTAACTTTTTCCGCGATTGAGCCAAATTATCGAATTAAAGCTCCATGCTTTATCCGTCTCGGTTCTGACTAGAGTTCGATTACTTAATTTGGTGCTGGCTCTACAGCTCTCAGTGGGAAACCGTTCTCTATGTTGTTTATAATTGGGTGACTTAAAAGGTAACATTCTTAACTTTGTTCACAAACGGCTGCGTTCGTTTGTTCAGTGCAGCCCATAGTAAACCTAAACATTCACTCACCAGCTACTCTGAGAAATGAAGCGATGAGCATACGCTAAGATGTCTGCCGCCCTGCCACTTCCTTCGGCAACAACCACTGGTACAGCAGGACTCCTTCCAACAGATTCTAAGACTGTGCGAATGGTGTTGGGGCCTCCCTCTAGAACGAGCAGTACCACAGGTACACCATGCGTTCGCTCTATGAACAGAAAAAAACATTCCAGAAATAAGTTTGTCTGAAACTATTGACAGGAATAGCACTTGTTAACTCTTAGATCCCTAAGAATGATTAGCATCTAATTTCTCTTTACAATATTACCTCTGAATCACACATTAAAAGAATACAGGAAACGATCACCAGCAAAAGAAGCTCCTGATTGTTGAACAATTTCCCTTTTTGAGCATCTCAGGAAATGTATAGAGAACGATATGGAGAATATCCGCTCTGATGTTAGGGTGTAAAGGGTTAAGGATTTCTATTATACGGGCGTCGTTAATGTATTCTGCCTTCAAAATTTTTTTTCGTTTTATTTTTCGACGATCAAATGAGATACAAAGTCTTCTCCAGCCCATTTTCACCATTTGTTAGGTTTTTTTTAGCAATAAAAAAACAAACAAAAAAATAAGGCTCCGGGATCAGAGTCTAGTGCAAGCGAAGAAGAATAAATTGTATTTACAACAGCTGAAAAACACTATGTGATTAAAGTCCCCTCGCTTTGCATGCTACTGTAGCTTAAGATCAATATTTGTTATAGATCTCTGTTCACTTAGGAGTAAACTTGATAAGCGATGTGCCTTCACAAATCTGAATCTTAACCATCTCGTTGCTTAAGCAATAGGGACCTCGAGTAAAAAAGAGAGAAGACGGCAGCGAGAACGCTGAGAAACAAAAAGTTTCATGAGCAGGACAATAGCTCTGAACGCACACTAAAAAAACCTAATTAATTTCCTAACTGTCCCAAACAAAACAAAGAGAGATCACCAAATTTCGAGTGGTCTGGGAACGAGAATACCCGACGGAAAATTAATCACTCTTGTGTTTGGGATTCAATGTTGCCTGTCTTCATTGTGCATGAGATGAGATCTTGTGCTGTGAGAAAAAGGTAAACAGAAAGATAAATTCCCAAAATTTTAAAGGCAATTTTAAGTACAATTTTTAACTCGACGTTTTTCATAAGCGTAACAGTCGTGACTGCCTAAGATCCCAAATCTATCATGGAACGTCCCACATATACAATAGAATTGGGGCAAGGATTGACGACGACCAAAACACTTATGAACAGCAAAATGACAATAATTCGTTTTTTACCACATGATTTCTCCATCTGTTTTCGTGATATACAGTTCTCAAGACTTGCGCGAAAAGAAATCTCTCCTCCAAATTTATTGATCGTGCCATCATCAACTAAAATAAAATGTGTGTGGTTGTTATCCAGGCATGCGCCTTGTGACATCTTACTGGATGTCATCTGATAAGACACCACATCCTGAAAAAAAAAGTTTCAAGATCGTTGAATAATGAGCAGAGCTTCTATTGATTGAAATCATATGATTCAAGGAGATGACTAATAGAAAGTTCATCTGTAATAAGCAGAGGACCAAGAGGAAATCTGACAACTCACCCTGACAACTCTTTCGACATCGCTAATCGTGATAAACATGACATTAACCTACTCTCGTTTAAAATGAATTAAACTTTTTTTGAAAACTTTAGAAATTTATAATTTCCTACTCTCCCGCCAAATTATCATTATTATTATTACTATTATCATTAGCATTATTATTCCTAGAGCTCTGATAGTTTTTTTATTAACGTTTTCTAGCATTTTTGGTTCGGTTAGCGATACACTGGGGATGAAGGAAAGTCGATGAAAAGTTCCCACGAAAAGGGCTCAATTGGATTTGGATCAATGTCAGTAACGGAGCAACTTTGCTCCTAACCCTTTCCTAACCCAACAATAACCCTTGCTTGTCGTCAGTTGACTTTTGCTGGGTTAGGGGAGGGGTAGGTGCGCAGTTGCCCAGATAGTGACATTGATCCAAAGATTTTCGAATATTGCTTCGCTGAATTGTTAGCTAAGAATCCACCTGATTACCGACGAGAATTTTTCTGTGATCCACAATTCCCCAGGTCGCTATGCCAATCAAATGAACTTGCTGGGTATTGTCCTTCAGTTGGGCACCACGTGACATAACTGTATGACCTCGCACAGCCTCCCCAACGTGACGCATCACACCTGTGTTCGTGCCACCTGTCATAATCCAGGCTCCTGTGGTTTGCGCGGCCTGTGAAGAAAAGGCAAAAATACCAACTGAAATGAAAGTAAAACACTGGAAAACACCTGGGTGTTATATTTTTTCTCGGCATGCTCGGTCTCGTCACTACTAAAACATGCCGCGATTCAATTTATAGTTTTTCCCTCCCTGCTATCAGTTTCACTGAAAGGTTTGCATGTTTAACCAAAGCAACAAAGAAAACTCAGACGAATTGAGTCGCTGTTCTGCGGGTCGACTCCAAAAGTTCTCTGTTTCAAACTCAGATTGCAGAGTAGAAATTGAGAGTTTTTAGGGGTCTTTTTCGTTTGCTACAGATACAGAATATATCAAAACATTGTGTAAACGAATCAGTTCTCAATGTACCTTAAGAAGGCCTTGTCGCAGCACTTGTTTCAGTCTCGGATGAAGCACAAAATTCTTTGCGCCCCCCGTCACTGAGATAAGAAGCTTGGGAAGCTCCAGCTTCCATTCCTTACAGAGAAGGCGCAGAGCCATTTCAGGGTCTGTGTCCTGAGATACACGGATATACTGGTCAAAGAAAAGACAAAAGAAAAGAGAATGTTATAAATTAGTAGGCAGGACGCTCGTTAGATATGTACCTAATATATGCGCCTAGTTCGTGAATGACGACCATGCGGCTCATCCTGCCCGACAGTCTTTTTTCCGCTTTCTTTAACCAAATCAGAATGATCACACGCTTACTAGGAGTGCAAATCACGCAAAATCATGAAGGGAGAAAAACACGGCGCCTTCTTAGTTCATGCTGCCCGCTGCTCGCGCTGCTGCCCTTTGTCTGATGCCAACTGCCCGCCCATGGCCGTAAGCAGGTTGTTTGCAGCTCAGTTGATAGCGCATCCAACTGCGACATCGTAACTAGCTTAGACTTCAGATCTTCCCGAGGAAATCAAAGTTTTTCTTTGTCTAAATTTCTTTTTCCATATTGTCCTTTACAAACATTCCAAAATAGTAAGATTGAGGTGAGAATGAAGCTTTCAACCACTGTTAAAATTTGTTTTTTTTGAAAATGCAAGATTTCGCTGGTCTACGGCGTCACCAGGAACGTAGCGAATAATTAACATCTTCATCTATTTTTTGGAAAAAAGAAAGTACCAGTATAAAAATGTTCCTCAGTGGCCGGCTGCAATTGTAGAAATTCCTTAAAAGAAACTCGAAAATACTTAGGCCTCGAAGTGGTTCAAATCCTGCGATTTCTTTAATCGCAGCTCCCGCGAAAAATAATTCATTTACTTGAAAATAATCCTCAGGTCGAAATAGGATTTATTTTATATAATCGCTAATGAAAAGACGACGTTTGTAAGATCAAATGTTTCCTTACCTTGGCTCGGCTGACTTGTCCGGCTCCTTGAAATTCTAGTTCTCCATAGGCATTGGTTGGTTTGGTGATAGTATGTTTAGATACCTGCCATTTGTCTCCTGCTTTACCAGTCGACAGCAATGCTTCACCGTTATGGTGCTGCTTCAAGCGCCCACAACAGCATCTGGATGAGAAACCGAAGAAAACGAGTGAGATCAATAAAGGACAGCGGCAGCTAGCCTAATGCATGGTCAGCGGCAGCTAGCCTAATGCATGCTCAGCGCGCTGGACGTTATAAAAGTTACCGAATTCTGCCGATTAATTACCGATTGTAAAATAACTTTGGACCGTTTGTAGCCGGTAAAACACTTTATTTGGTGATTGTTTCATCACCTCTCATTTGACTGAGAGGAGATGTTGCAAGGAGAAATTAGAAGCTGGTCACTGTTATGGGTCAAAGCGTGAAGGTCATGGGAATAAGAAGCGGGGCATCGGGGCCTATTAGAAACCGCAGAACCGTAGAAAATTATCATTCAAAACCGAAAAACCCCCAAAATATTCGATTGCAAAACTGTCCAAATCGGTACATTTTCAGATCCCAGTTATTAAAAGAAGCGTGAAACCCCTAGGGATCCCTACGATATTTCAATTGGTTTGTCACGTATTCCTCTCAATAATCAGTGGAGGCGCCTAATTGCCGCTCAGATCGAAGAGAAACCGGAACCTAAATAGGACAAATAGGAAAAACCGAAAACCGCATCGGATATCAAATCCGAAAACCCGTTAGAGTTTTCCGCGAAAGCCGAAAACCACATGCTGAAACACGATAAATCCGCAAACCTTAATAAACTCCAAAACCTAAAAACGGAAGTTTTTTAGCACAAAAACCAATCCAAAAAATCCAAAACCGCGAAACCGAAAATCCCAATGGCCCTCTTCAATAAGGAAAACGATCACAAACTAAAGAAGCTAGTACTTAATATTGTCAAACAAATTCTCCTTGTCAACATCCCAGGAAAGGTATAGTAAACAGTATGCAGAATATGGGCAATGATGTTTAGGTGTAAAGGGTTGATTATATCTGCATGCGTGACACCTGAATACGCACGACTGTTCTCCTCTAGAGCGGATTTCAGCGTTTGATTGTCACCATGCAAATGAATTATTACAAAAGAATGCGTCATGGCGGGAGAAAGCGGAGTGCAAACAGACACAATAGGATCGAGTTCTCTAACCCCCTAAGCCTTAAAATCAATATGCAAGTTTTCCATACTGTTCTCTATTCTAAAGAGCATTTAGCTACAAATTGAGAGCTTCTAGAGTTTTGGATAATTTCTTTTATTCTCTTTGCCTTAATGTTTGATTTAGGGGTGATATTGTGGGGAGAAATGAGGTGCTTATCACTCTTTGGGGTCTCATCTTCGACTTCCGTTCCTACAAGTCTTGTTGCTACAATGGATTTAAAATTCTGACCGATCTGATAATTTCTCAGTTAGTATTTTTCTGTTGCATTTAACCTGTGCTTACCTATAATCATTTTGAGTAGACGGAATAAACCAATGGCAGGTTCTTTTCCTGAAAGTTCTGTAAATCCATGATGCTTTGGCTTCTGGTGTGTTTGACTACAAGACGTGGTAAGAAATATTAGTCGACTGGCCACACACATACACAAATAACAATATCTTGTTTCAATAGAATATTAAAATGCACTTTCAACTTAAGCTTATTCGAGGAAATTGTCACTCGACGCGCCTACCTCTGAAGGAAATTTTTAGACAGATTAATTTTGTTACCACCTGTTAAAATTATTCTTCTACATCCACCTACCGGCTTTCCGTCGATGTTTTCATTCTCGTCGTCCGAACTGATGAGGTTACTCCTGCTTGAATTAACCTCTTTCATCTTCGACGACGTCAAATGTCGTGATTACGGCTAACAATTAAAATTCACGAAAACGAAAAGTTAGAAGCCGTAAGGTGAGATGTTTTCATTGATTTCCCCAAACCACAAGTCACTCACTGCCAAGGATCTTTCATGGAAAGAACTGAATTGGAATTCTTGAATCACTCGGAATACGGAATATCGCACCAGGTGACAGCTTTGCATCACACTTAAGGAATCACTGACAACTGATCTAAAGTCATTAATTTGAAGTTTCCTACGACAGTTCCAGTTTCAAAATTAAATTATTCATTATGACATTCTTGCTCTTATCCGTCGCAAAGTTCACAGCACAGGTGGTGAAGTTCCTAAAGTAGGTTTACCTTTGGCTGATGTGTGTGTTTGCAGAACACTGTTGCATGACTCGAGAAGCACGTGCTTTTTTTACGTATTGACGTGTCAATTATTTATAACGTGGCTATTGTGTGACACGGTCTGACACACTTGAAAGATCCCAAGATACTCTGATCATCGTTCAAAAGGCGAGCGACGTAAGAGTCTAAGAGCAACGGGGAATTTATCAAACGCAACAGAATGGGAGCAAAAAAAAAAAAAAACAAAGAAAACAATACAATGAGACGACTGTGAAGAGACCTGTCCGGGGAGGATTATACATTTGGTTTATTGACAAAGCCTTGAGGTCAGGATGGAAACGGTGGCCTAAACATTATTTGGAGTCAGACTAGAGACAAAATTGCCTTCGCTTCGTCGCTTCGTCTTTGTCAAACTACACTAAAGAATTTGTTTTGTTTCTAAGACTTAACACGGTAGTATTTGTGCGACTCCATGAACCGTGTGGCGTACGATTACCTCTGTGGAAGATTTGACCTCGTGTAAATCAAGGGTGCATCAAAATTATGAATATGAAAGGTAATCAAAGAAAATAATCCAATGAATACCATCACATGATCTAAAAGGAGACAAAAAAACATTTAGTCGAATGAGGTCTTCTGATTAAAAAAGTTGCCCGTTAACTTTTTTCGCTTTCCAAAAAGAAAAAAAAGAAGTATAGTCTAGAAGTCGCTAACAGTTGTCGTTTAAGCAGCGAGAAAGCCGAAAATCCAAGGGGGGAAAGTTAGGCCTGTATTGCCCAGTAGAGTAGCCAATCAGACCATAGAATTCACTTCATCTTAACCACTCGAGGAATCTTCTTAATAATCTAATAAGCTATGCACTAAGGTCAAGCCAGGTCAGATCGATCATTAGGCCGAAGTTGAAGTCTTTTAGGCCAATACTTAGACAGGAATTAATGCATTCACTTCCCGGCTTATCAGTGCCAACATTTTATTTACAGTGTTGCTCTTCGTCTCGGCAGATTTTGCGAACAATTGTCACAAGAATGCTTTTATTTACCGAACAGTTGTGAATTAAAGTTCAGATTCTTAACAATTCTTCCTTGGAAAAAAGCCACATGCCCCACATCCTTTAATAGGCACCTTTTCTGGTCCCAAACATTCATTCTTACTTTTACATCTGCATATACGACGGCCATACAAAAAAACAACATCACTCTCAGAAGGCAGCGAGTCCTATCTTTCAAACCAGGGGTCACTTATACATTACACGCGCAGACGTCCGCCGCAATTGTGTTCTGGACTACCACGGCTTCCTTAGGTAAAGCATAAACTAAGATGCTTAATTGTGAACTGCCACTATATCGAGATGATCCGCAAAGTGGCTGGTACGAGGAGTTAGTCATGAGAGGCCTCTTCTCAGTCAATACATTCTCTATTCCTTACATCGCAGAGTTTTGTTTCTTAAGGTTTTGCACTTATTTTTCTTATCTTAGAGGGCAGTGCAAATGTGGTTGTTGTCCAATTTCTAAGTTTATGAACATTTTATATTATATGCCAAATAAATTGCAAGTTTTTTGATTAAGTTACAATGTCAGTCCAAACGTCATCTTGTTTGGACATCAAAAACAGTATGTTCACCGAAAAAGCCGTTAAAAACTCGGAGCTTCTCCGTCACTGATGACGATAAACATGATGTCTGACAGGTCTGTACTTGACGCCCATGCATCAATGAAAAACATGGGCCACTGTATCAAGTCCCACCAAGAAATGTTATTTATATTTTCCAGTTTTCGCCGGAGCGACGTTCTCTATATCTACTTCTCTCCATCTTCGCTATTGTCGCCGTCGTTCTCGCCTAACCCAGCAATTTCTTCTTCACTTCCACCCAAGGCGCGCCAAAAAGCAATGGCCACCTGAAACCACAAAATAGACTTAACAAATAGATTCCAAGTTGCAGTGCGTCTGTTCAGTAATAGATCACAGATGACGTCAAAATGTGGTAGGAACAAAAAAGTGGCACACGAGGCGCAGCTGAGTGCGTCACTGATGTTCTTACCACATTTTGACGTCCTCTGTGATGTATTGCTGAACAGACGCACGGCAACTTGGAATCTATTTGTTTTATATAATAAAGAATTAAAAAAAGTTTTAATGATGACGTCATCTATACGTCTGTCCTCCAATAGATCATAAGTGAGAACCAATCAAAACGCGTGCATAACTGAGCTTATTATATAAAAATCAATAGCCAATATGCATAATCTACATACTGTTTTCTCTACATTTTCTAAGTTGGTGACAAGGAGATCTAGTTCAATAATCAAGAGCTTCTCTAGACACTGTAAGGGGTCAAAGTGTTAAGATATTTAGAAACAAGACTGTAGTGCATATTTACAAAAAAAGAATCGACATATCGACAAGACAGCAGATTGCAAAATTCGCAACTTACCTTCTCTGCGTAATCCTTCCTTTCGGTTGCTGGAAGAGACGATGCACGTTCTGTAAAGAAGATTTAAAATTGAAGTGGTTTACCAAGTCTGGTGGAACTTACTTTAATATTACAAAAGTTTTTAAATTTTCCTACCTTTCATGACCGCCAGTTTTTGAAATAATTCCTCAAAGGATTCATTGTCGTTTCCATCACTGGCGAGGCAGCTAAGCAATTCGAGATCATCAGTTGGCAGAGGGAAGACTGGAGAAATAGAAATTTTCATCTGAGATACTTCACTGGTGTAAGGAATTAGACAAACCCTTTCATGCGGCACCAGTGTAGGGACAATCTCTTTAGAAATCTTTGGAACAAGGACATTTTCTTTAGTGACCATTTTGGTTCATCGTATTTCTCGTAACGCTGTTGGCAATGATGAGCTTTGTTGTTGAAATCATGAGGTTTTAGGAACCTTTTCTTTCTTAAAAGCGCTACATGTGCGTTTTAAGTCTTAGTCATTTTCCAAGCTGTACTGTGCAAATCAACAACCGACATGAATCACCAAAGTTTGCATGGTATGAGAATGTAATCACCAACAGCATATCAGACAAGTATCTGTTTGGCGCACAACACTATCTTCACATGTTCCTCTAAACATGAATTCTTGCATAGTCACGGGAGGAAAACGAAATCTGTCATTCACAAAATTCTCAAGGAATATAAAGTATTGCATAAAATTGTTTTTTCATTGACGTTTCCCGTGGCTTTGCCAGGCGTTTAGAATGCTACTTATCGGGAGCTTTCATTTTAATGTACTGGGATCAGTAAGTATACAAGCAAACCTTTTTTGCAAACCTGGTGGCCGCTCGGCTGCTGCAGCTTGGTTGCTGCTTAGTTTTTCGTCATTGCTGAGCACAGCCTTCGCTTGTTGCGTTCCTTCGGAACTTTTATGACTCCGTGGATTCTCTACAGATAATTAATGAAAAAAAAAAATGAAAAGTTTGCCTTCTTGGTTAGCCGCAAGCGAGTTCTTCTAAAAGATTTGCTTCTGAATGTAAATCGCGTGTTGCGCAGTGGGTCCACATTACATGTTGATCAGAACTACTTAAATCGAATTACACTTCTGATTTCTTTTTGTTGCAATCATCTAAATTTGGATGGGTGACAAAGGAGACAACCATTTCCGCTGCCCAAGCTTATGATGGGCTTTAATTAGCCACTGATACTAATTTATTTTTGGTATGTGAAAAGTAAAAAGTACAGTGTGTGTACATTCCCACAGCCTATGCATATGATGGTCTTTAATCAGCTAGAAGAACAAGAACCTTTTGTGAGGACAGTCCTTTGTGGTATAGCAAAGTTAGTCCTGCGGCCGGGAAATTAATAGTCCTTTATCCTCCAGCGGGGCCTTATGCTGAAATAGTCCCCGACGCCGGGTATCGCTGGTTTTACTGATGCTTTGTCGAAAGTTGACTGCCTTATCATGTAATGAAGAACACCGCAGTTGCTAGCTCATGAAAGACCATCGTGTGCATAGGCTGTGGGAATGGTTCCACACACACTGTACTGTTTACTTTTCACTTACCAAAAATAAATTAGTAACAGTGGCTAATTAAAGAGCATCATCTGCTTAGGTAGCGGGAATGGTTGTCTCCTTTGTCACCCATCAAAAATGAATCGGTATCAGTAGCTGGTTAAAGACCATCACAGTGTTCGACACACATGCTGGAATTGTGCTTCACACTGTTCTGTTTCCTTTGTCGCTCATGGTAAAGTAAAATTAGTTTCAACATGACTAAGCTTAATGTATAGTGAACAAGCAAACGTTCCAAAATACTCTAGAACTTTACAGGTAACGCTTTCCTAAAAATTAAGTCATTTTAATTTGAATGAACTATCCAAACACTTTAAAAGTTATCACCTAGTGCTTTGATAAGAACATGTTTCAAAAAAGTTTTTAATATATAACTAGCTGCCTTTTAGAAAAGGATGTTAAACTAAAAAATAAATTTTATGAAACCTCTGCACATCGGGCTTGGGAAAGACCTTAGGTTGATTTTTTTTATCATATGTTTTGATCTGGGTTCTGTATAAGCTTAGTAGTACAAACTGGAGATGCAGTGTTCTACACAGATTTTGAAGAAGTCAGCAAAAAATGTAAAGTAGCCAACGCTTGCAATCGAGCGTCCGACTAGGGGGGTCCAAGGGCATGCATCACTGGGAACTGGCTGGGCTTCAACCTGGACATGACGATCAAGTTCAGATACTGCAGATATTTCACTGTTGTCCTGTGCTTCAGGGGCCTGAAGGTCACTTGCAAAATCGACTTGAATACCAATGTCAATCTTTGCAGCTGGATGGTACAGACTGCCTTCATGATCTGATCCTTCAATCCTTGGCAGCTTCTTGAGTGATGTGAGATTTCTGAAGTTTGTCTTTCTCCAGACTTTGGTTACTTCTTTCAGCATTACCTTGCATTCTTCAGACTGGTGTGAAGGACCACTGAGTGAGATGCGTTAGAAACTGGCCATCGTGTCATTCTTGAGGCGACTTCTCAAAATTTACAAAATTGAAGTCTTTTTTTTTATTATTTTTTATGCCTATTTATTTCATTCCAAGATAACTATGCAGAAACAGATGCGAAGAAACTGGGTCCGACTTTCAAAATAGCTCCTTTAGCAACTAGCAGTGAAATGCGACCTTATGAAATCTACCTTCTCTTTATGAGAATGTTAGCTTCTGAAAGCTATTAGAGTCGTCATAGACTTGAGAATCACCCCGGGATGAAGTTATCTTGAACAAACCAGCAAATATAACATCGCGCGATTGAACAGCTGATCGGTCGGCAAGCCCACGGTAATGAATGTAAATATAAAATTACCGATTTCTATGCGTTCTTTCGAAACAAAGAAGCTTGTTATTCTTCCTCTTGCCCTCTTTCCATCGTTTTGATTTTGCACTGATTTTTGCTTTGACATTTCTGATTGCAGAGAACTTTCTCGCTGGGTACGCCAAGTTGTTCGCTCCACGAATTCTCGCAAGATGGAATTTACGAAATACGCGTACAGAATCGGAACAGAATCGCGGCAAAAGTTGTAGTCTATGTAAAAATAGGCACTAGTTCGTAGTAGCCTCGTTTAAGTGTTTAAACTAAACGGACGGATGTTTGTAAGAACAAGCCAGTTGATGTAACACTTGACGGCAGATATCAAAACGATTCCTTCTCAACTAAACATGGTGTCAGGAGTGAGTACGGGATAGACCGAAACTGTTCGAAAGAAACCTGCAATGCCGACGGACGGACAACAGGCAGGTGCAAATACGGGAACGACAACAAGATTACACAGCTTAAACCTCCCGCTCAGTTAGACTTCGATGTGACAAACTTGGCTGACAGTTGGAAAAGATGGAAGCAAGAATTAGAATTGTACATGGATCTGGCAATGAATGGCAGAGACGAGGCGACGAAAGTAAAGTTATTTCTGTATTTAATCGGCAGTCAAGGAAGAGAAATTTATGATACTATGGCCTTCGAAATTCCCGCGTCCGAAAGAACCTTAACGCAGGTGTTAGAAGCGTTCGACGGGCATTGTAATCCCAGAAAAAATGAAACTGTTGAAAGGTTCAAGTTTTTCTCCCGTACTCAGGACCCGGGTGAATCACAAGAAAAGTTCGTTACAGATTTAAAGCTGTTGGCGACGGCCTGTAACTTCGGTGATCTTAAAGATTCGCTGGAGAGAGACCGGGTCATTTGTGGAATCCAGGACCGGCAACTTCGAGAAGAACTGCTTAAGATCCCAGATCTTGATTTACAAAGATACCTCAGCATTTGTAGAGCAGCCGAGTTGTCGAAAACACGGACCAGAACTTTGGAAGTCGGCGAAGCAGTAAACCCACTGAAGGACCAAACGAAGCGCGGCAAGGTGTCAGCTAACAAAAGCCATGACAAGTCTGCGGACAAAAGGCGCGAAAATGATGATCGGAACGCGAGAGATTCCAGTCCTAAAGAAGTACTAAGATGCAAATTATTTGGTGGAAAACATAGGGCTGCCAAGAAAAGTTGCCCAGCGTTCGGGAAGAGGTACTCGGCTTGCGGAAAAATGAATCATTTCGCTTCTCAATGCCTTTCTAAAACGAGAGTGAGCGTCGTCGAATCAGAAAGTGAAAGCGAGCCCGATGAATGCCCCACTCGGGCATTGTTGCCACCTGTCCAGCCCAAGATCTATCAGAAGCTTCTCGCCGAGAAAGAACGACAAGCCCTTGCTTACAATAGGGGGGCTAAGGATCTGGGAGCACTTAGAAGTGGAGATACAGTGCGACTCGTGCCGCCTGGATTTCCGAGTAAGGAAGCAGTGAAAGCAAAGGTTGAAAGGTGTGTTGGAACTCAGTCCTTCGAAGTGGCTACCGAAGATGGAGCCAGATATCGTCGAAATCGCCGTCACCTGAGGAAAAAAAAGGAGGCCTGCCGGAGTTCAGACCTGCTTTCGTGGCTGAAGAAGGCGTTGAGCAATCGGATCAACAGTGGACATCCTTACCTAAACAAGCACAGACTGGTCATGAGCTCTCCGCGCCGTGTAAGCGGACAACCGTACCCAGTGGTCGGGTGGATGCAACCAATGGGCATGCGATGGCATCTCGGCAACCGGAGCCACTTGTTCAGCCTAGTGGGTTACCTTGCAAGGCCCAACAACGCGATCAGGCAGAGTTGTTAAGAAGCCAGCTTATTTAAGGGATTATGTTACTGGGATGTAACCAGCGTCGAAGCTTTCTACGCTCCAGAAACTTTGAACAGTTGAACTCACTTACGTTGTTTGTTCGTTTTTTTTTCTTTTGTCTATCTTGTTTGTGTGTGTGTGTGTTTTTTTTTATTTATTTTTTTTTTAAATAAGGAAATTTTCCTTATTAAAAGGAAAATAGTAGTAGCCTCGTTTGAGTGTTTAAACTAATAGGACGGAAGTTTGCAATAACAAGCCAGTTGATGTAACACTTGATGGCAGATATTAAAACGATTCCTTCTCAACTAAACAGTCTACATTGACAGCTTTCGGCCAATGCACTTTTAACAATGCCACATCTCTGTCTTTACTACAACTACAAGAACATTTTACGTTCTTATCTGTCTATAACACTACATAGATATTTATCGTTTCGTTCAGAAATAATAACATGTTCGCTTACTGTTTTCTAAGCGCAAATTCAAGCTACGCTCGAAAGTGTCTTACATAAGAAAAGAGAATCATTTTCTGTTGTTTTGTCTGACAAAAGTAGCCGGCGCTTGAGACGCGAGTAGCCAGCGAAAACGCTGGCCACCGGGTTTTCCGGAGAACACTGGGAGATGTGTCCAGTTTCCTTTGACGTTTGCCACCTGATGTGATCATTCATATCTACCAGGGATTTTACATCTATTAGGTACAAGGTCATATAAAAACACAAATCTATGTTTGTATTTTGGCTTTTTTGACACCCACTGTGAATGATTTGTATTTTTCAGTCATCATGACTAATGATTTTAAAATTATTGTCTTTGTAGATTTATACAGTGAAGCAGATTATCTTTAATATAATTCTGTTGTGGAATAAATTAACTTTAACTTCTACAGTTTCATCAATTAAATGTTGACTTAATGGACAGGATTGGAGGCGAGTTATTGTGTCCAGGCTTAAATATGGTAAATTCAATTGCAAGGTAATAATTTGCTGAATTCTAGATTTTATAATTTATAGAATGGAAAAACAGAATGGTCCAGGAGTCATTTAACCCTCTACAACCTAACATCAGTATCCACATCCTCCATACTCCTCTCTGTACATTCCCTTTGGCATTGACCAGGATAATTTGTTTAAAAATGAAACCCATTTGGTTGGTGATCATTTCCTTTATTCTTGTGGTCTTAGTAAATGATTCAGCAGTATTGTAAGGGGAACTTACATGCTGATCACTATCAGCATTTAAAAGGTTAAACGCTATAGTAATTTAGAACTGCTGAGAACATCTTAGTTTTTGTACATAAATTGTAGAGCACTTTTATTAGCTACTATGGAGTCTAGCTTTGACTACGGTTTAAATTTTCCTAAGCGTATAATTGTGAAAATAATACCACAATTCTTCATACCAACAAAGATATCAGATTTTCAAAGAGATACACAATGTAAATATGCTGACTTCCTGACTTTCCCCTGATATTGAAGAATTCTCTTTTTCTCTGAATACTTGTGGTGGCAACCATGAAGGACTGAGTCAATTATTTACAAAATATAAGACTATCACATGTTCTTAAAGATACCACAGTACTCTACCTCGCATTTTCATGTTTGGCCATTCTGCACATTGAAGAGCCTCGACAACTCTATCAATCCCAGTCTTCTCTTGAAAGTCATCTACAGTCAATCAATATAATTGTTAGTTTCTCTAGTACTAAGGTCATATTATAAAATGTACTCAAAATATTTGTAACTCAAATCAAAATGCCAAAATGCCAAACTGTTTCTTTTTTCAAAAAGAAAAAAGATTGCACCTCGGCCATCCAATTGTCAATTTTGTGCTGTGTGGTATGGGGAGTGGGGGGGCGGGGGGGGTATTATAAGATAATTTGGTGTTTATCAACTGAGCTAATGATGTAAATTGGCCATGGTGGAGATTTCTTACACTGATGTTTTAGGCATTGGTCCTTCATTACAGCAAACAATGACGAACTAATGCTTGAAACAGCAGCTTAATACAAACTCATTACTTTGGCCAAATTACATTATCAACATGGTGATGAAACCGAATTACCTTTAAAAAATATCTGGCTTATTATGGAAAAGATACATTCACATTACCTTCTTCTTCTTCGGTTTCTTCTTCTTCAGAATTCATTTCAATAAATTCAAATGAGTTATTCAAACACCACTTAACTACCTCTGATTTAGAACTTTCTAAAAATTCAAACATAAAAAAGCTGATCAGAGTGGTAGGAGCAGCTCTGATTTCAAAGGTAAAAAAAAGATTAATTTTACATAGACATTATAGATACAGCTGTAACAAGTTGTTCTCCACATGAACTAAGAGATCTGCTTTGTACATATGAATTTACTATGTTAGTTGAGGTTTTCAGCCTTTGGATCCAAATTGAAAGAAATTAATTTCTATAAATTGCACTGGCAAGGAAAGAAAAGAAAAAAATGTAGATGATGATTAAACTACTGAAATAATACAGTACATGTACCTTTACTGCTGTTTCCTTTACCAGAGTCAAGTAGTAACAGTACAGATGGGTCCTGTGTCTCAACATACGGAAGCCATGATTTCACATTGTGAAAACTTGATTTCTGAAAGATTATAATGATATGCACTTAAGTTTGTTCATTTGTATTTCATAACTGTGGAAATAAATAGTACAAGAAAACTCATTCATAAGTTATCCCAATTCGTAAAGAGAGGTACATTGTACATGTAGGTTAGAAACATATTAATTATTTTCTTTGCCATTAAAAAGAGCATGCAAAGCCAACATGTCTACATATTGCCATGGCTGATTAATTATTGCTGCATGTAAATGGAACCTCCTTCTTTAATTTCTTGTTGAGAAAGTATTCAAGAAATAACAGTGGAGTTAAAATATGTCCATTGTCCTAACAAGCTAAATTGGATCAACTAATAAATTGCTAGGGAGATAGAACTATTTGGGAAATCAAGCTAATTTCAAAGCTAGAACTATTGGGAAATCAACTATACAAATCCTGAGCTATAGTTTGCCTATAAAATAAAAATTAAAGCGCAGATGTCATCAGACGCTGCGTTTCTGACTTACCTCACTAAGATCGAACGCGATAATGACACTCTGGAAGTTCATGTTAGCAGCAAACTCACATTGAGGAGGGAGAGAGCTCACAGAAGAAGCACAAAGTTGCACATCTGCTGTATAATACTTATTTTCTATTTTCCATTGGTACGCAATCAAACTGCCATTTGAAAGCTCTTTTGGAGATGAAAATTCTGTCTTGCACATTTCTGTCGAAGGAGGAGTTGAGAATGAAATCATAGAGTTGAGAATGAAAATAATTGAGAATAATTGAGAGAAAACGTACATGTAATGAACACATTTCTAGCTATTTTACTGAAAAGATAAAAGTTTTCATATTTGATCGAAAGTTCGATCTCTTACCACGAATAATATCTTCAGAGGAGAGAAATGAACTACAGCTAACTACAAGCACTTGACCAACGTTATCCGCCATGTTGGACTTTAAATTTACATAATGTCATATCTGATAACTGTATCAGCCGCTGGCTCAATCATATGAGCACTGCGTGTTCATCTGAGATATTTACAACATGGTTGCTTGGAGAAGGAGACGCTAAAAGTCAATCTTCCCTGAAATGGCGGCGTTTTGAACTTTATGAACGCTCAAAAATATCAACTGATCTGCTACATTTAAATCGTCGTACCGAGGATGTTTTCTTTGACAGACATTCAGCCAGGACCCACTGATATCGGAGAAATTCTTGTGAAGGTAAGGAGTTTTTAAGTTTCTGCTTCGGCCTGCGAGGAAGTTTTTGCAGTAGTCGCGTCGAAGTTTATGACTGTTTGGCTTTTCAGCGCTTTGTCTTCCCCGTCTCCCTTGATCAGGTTCTTGAATTTAACGAGAATCACAGAATTTACTAGTTTTCTGGGAATGATATATTATCCGGGCACGGTTGCAATAAAAGTTTATGTACACACAGCTTTATTAGTTGGTATTTATATTAATTTTGTACGTTTCAGACGTTAACGTTAAGAAGAGCACTGTCTTTTTCCTCGTTTCAAACTAAGAGATCAGGCATGGGTTTTAAAAAGCATCAATCAACAGTTAAATTCTATCGCTTAACTAAGTTCTAGACATTTATACTTACTAATTACTAACTAAAGCTTAACAAATTCATTATTTACCATTACGCGCGGTAATAATAAAACAGCTGAAATTGAAATTTTTAATTCAATGGAACCGACATGCAAACGAACAAACCTTTAAGTTTTCTGGTTCCTCACTACAAAAACTGTCGCGATGTTTTTCTTTTTTCCATAATCCATGGCAATTGTGTTACGCAGTGTGATTAAATGAACGGACTTAAATTACACAACTTCATGCGTTAATTTGTTGTAAAATATTTGCAGCTCTGAATAGTGTTTATAAAAAGAGAAGTGAATTGCTAAGAATGCTGTCAGCCTTAATTGCTCTCCTAAAAAATGCCTTGTAAGTAGGATCTTGACCATATTTATTGGGAGGAAAACTTTGGCATGCTCATTTGTACTTTAACATCACTTATCATTGGTAAACCCTAACCCCCTTTCATGCTAGGGTTACACGGGGCATTAGCTATGAAGAAGAATTAAACTACTTTGTACAGACATAGTGATCAGAAATACATAACAATGAATACAAGGGCAACAATACGACAATAGTTACTTGATTTAGGGCTGTCAGTAACTTGGCTTTGACCAATCTCTTATCCAGTCTAAAAGTGCAAATGGAATTTTATTAAATTTCATGATATCTTGAATATTTGGGGCTTTCATCAGCTCTGCAACAGTTGGCGCAATGCATTTCCATATAAGGTGACCCGGAATATGAGCTGATAATGGTAGTCGAGGGAACTAATCAGAACACTAGAAATGCAACATTTGGAGTTGAAAATTTAATAAGATATGTTATTGAGTTGGACTGTACTTGATGTTTTATTTTCTTGTCACCTTAAAAAAATAATTGCATTCTTGTGGTTCAGTATGTTGATCAATGTTTAATTGAAGGGGTTGTTCAAGTGAGTTATAAACCTTTTTTTTTTCTTTCTAGTGGAGGTTGAAAAAAGGGTGATTTGTAGTTTATGAGGAACAAGTTCTAGCTCAATTAAGAGGAATTTCCCTTTTACCCTTACAAGTGAATAAAGTATCTAATTTCTCCCTACAATGTAACACCTGCATCATGCATTGAGGTCAGGAGAGTAAAGGAAATGATCACTAGCAATAGTCTGTTAAACAAATTTTCCTCATCAGCACCTTTAGTTAGGAACTGGAGAATAATACATACTGATTGTAAGGTATAGGTACAGCTGTTTGCTGTAGGTAACAAAGTAAGGGTTGTGTCTCAACTGTACAGTGTGTGTTGTTTCTGATTATCTGTTAACATTGTTTCTTAGGTTCAAGATGATCTGCGACACCTCAAAGAGCAAATTATTTCACAAGGAGTCTCCACTGAAATTATCGACCTCAGGACACTTGAGAGTGCCATTGAAAGAACTGAACAAAGTGTCAGGGTAAGTTAATAACAACTACAACTACTATGTACATGACTTAAGTTGTTGTTTCCCTATATTTCGGCTTTCTAATCTTTTTGTTTTATGACACCTACTTTAGTCTTAGTACATGTATTTGATGAATTCTGGTTTAGCTGATTTACACTTGTAAACATGCATGAATATTTAGTGTAACACACAGGTGTGTGTATTAAATTGAAGCGCTGTGTGGGTATTCACATGTGCAGTGTGTGGGAATTGCAGGCGTGTCAAATACATGTAATGCTGTGGTACTCATTAAAGATACTGTACACTAGCTTGTGTGGACTCTATGGATAAATTATTACTATTTTTAATATAAAATGATTTTCATTATCTAATTTGTAGAGGGATGTTAAAATTATTATTTAATTTTTGATGCACCAGGATAAAGCTGAGCAGATCGTCCACTCTGCCAACAACCAAGTGCTAACTTTACCATCGCTTGAAGGACCTGTTACTGGTTCAACGAAAAAAAAGCAACAAGAAGCTGTAGGGTATGTCTGTTTTTGTTTTTATCAGATGAACATGGAAAATAATTATTGTACAATTGTTCAGTAATTGTGACCATGAAAGGCAAAATGGACACTAACGGTTATCCATTTGAAGAGGTAAACCATTTGTTATCTGTTCAAATGCCTAAAATAATCCATTCAAAGCATTCAACAAACTGTTCGAATGGTTGTGACATCCAATTGAACGGTTTTTGCACCTGTTCACCAACTAGAAGTGTCCATTTGGAGAACTGCGACATCCGTTTGAACAGTTTGACTTCTGTTCTGTTCATCCATTGGAAAGGAGAAAATTGCACTCATAGTTTCTTTACAGATATTCAGTCTAGTGGTCAAAACGTCATGATCCACATCTATGTGACTAAATCGTGAGACAAACGATTAACTCTCGATTAGCTGTCATATAAAACCACGATGACAACTACCTTTCATAAGTAATTTCAGACAATGACTATAAACTTTATATACTAAATAGGCAAACAGTTGCAAAAACGTCACTTCTAAGTCGTGAAAACCTTCACTGCATAAGAAAATTGCTCTAATTGGCTGAGAAAAACAGTGAGAACTATTCACTCCCAATTGAGCCCATAACCATGCTTGCGACAGCAGTACTACAATAATGCTATCAGCATTTTGCCATAGCAACTGTTGTTAGGACAATCAATGTTGTTTTACTAAAATTCCTGTAACACTGAACTTAAGACTTACTTTAAATAATAAATTGTGTTATGTTTTGAGAAAGCTTAATATTATCACTACATTGATCTTCTTTATTTTATTTTCAAAGAATTTAAGGAACATAGAGGATATCAGAACATATTGATTTCTTCATCATCATTATTATTGCTTATTTCATTTAAGGGATCAACGTATAGTAGCATTCAAGAGGAGCTCTTCACCAAAAAAAGAAAGGTTGGTTTAATTATAATCTGTTAACAACTTATCAAGTTAACACTTTGGCACCCTTTCCTTTTAGTGATGTTTTGTTCGACAAATGATGTTTGCCTAGCTATGTAAACTGCATCTGGTACATGTACGTCAACTTACACCTGATAATGGCATTAAATTTCATTTCTGTCTAATTCCAGTTTCAGGAGTCTTTTAGAGCCAATAGCAATTGCAAAAGAAGGGAATAAACCAGGACCCAATGCCCCTGCTCCTGGGCAACAGGTGTGTACTCAAAGTTGCCTTTTGATAGTCTGTTTCAAATTAATGATGATTAATAATTATTAACTGTTTAACTTTCAGAAGTGATTAACATGCATGACAAACTTGATTCTCCCATTAATATCCAATCCCTCATACATTATCCAGCAAACAGGAAATGAGAATACTCAAACTTACAAGCTTAAATGTCATCTTGATCTAAGACCAAATTCTTCTAACTAGTCTGCAAGGAAATGTGTAGCAGCTACAAGAGAGAATTAACAATGAGATCTAGTGAGTTAAAAGATCAAATGGGCCAGTTATTTTACAAGAGTTTTTTCTGCATTTATTTCACTGTATTAACGAGCAGTGTCACATTTTTAGGAAATGGTTGACAGAAATGTGTCTTACAGAAATGTATCTTTATTGCATGAAATTAGGGTCAAGTACCTCTGAGCTGTACTGTACATACAGTTACATTACAAAATTTTTGTCAAAGACCAAGTTTTTCATAAAAAACACTATGCACCTTTCTGCAAAGAATTTTCTGTGCATGATTCTGAAATGTAACATGGCAAAAATGCTTGTGCTCAAAAATGATCTCAGACTGACCATCCCAAATTGTTCAAATGTGTAGTGATGCATCACTGATGTTTGCCATCATTTTTTTTATTATTTCTTTTGCAGGCTAGAGATCTTAGAAGTTTAAAAATCATTAGTAATCCAGCTCATCCAGCAGCAAGGAACATCCTAAGTGAAAGATATGGCATTGCTCTTCCATATATTGTGGATAAACATGAACAACCAGCTCAGGTCTGTTAAAAGAAGTGGTAATAATGATAACAGTCCATAAAAAGTGGCACACTAGGTGCAGCAAAGTTTATACCAGTGATTTTCTTACTGCATTTTGAAGTCTCCTATGATCTTTTATGGAACAGAACCAAGCATCAACCCAGAATCTTTTTGCTTTGTACTACAGACACCAGAAGTTGTTAATGGTGACACCGTCTATGGATCAAAAAGATCATACGTTAAAGAACTAATCAAAATCCATGCTCAATTGATTTAGAAGATTATTAATAATGGTAATAAGACTGAGTCCAATTTGGTCTGTAATCATACAGTCAGGTGATTAACAAAATCGGACGACTGCAATGCGAGAGTCCAATTTGTTAATAAAGAGTATGATTACAGGATAGAATTGGACAACACAAAGTGTTGTTACCAATTAATGAAAACAATGACTGAAACTGAGAAAGAAACTGGACATCA